TTATGTTTTATTTATATCGATGTTTAATCATTATTTTGTATATATAAGACAACAAAAAAATAAATAATTACCTATGAGTTAGGGGTGACTTCACTTTATACACATACACACCTTCTTCATCTCTTCAACTATTCATTTCTTATCTTTTCATTTTTTTTATATTACATAATTATTAGAAAATAATTGTAAAAAAATCAATAATAATTTTTAAAAAAATAATAAAAAATTAAACATTTACTTATCCAAACATTTATTCTTTAAAAAATTAAAAAAAAAAACATTTTTATATTTATTTGGTTTTTAATAAATTAATAAATTATATTAATTAAATTGTAATAGAAATATTCAAGTACCAGAAATAATAAAAGAATAAGACAACAAAAAAATAAAAATAAAAAATAATAATTATTATTATAATAAGGTTAAGGGTGTAGTTAGCAAGGGTTGGGGTGCCAATACCCCCTCCCCCAATTTTATATCAAAAATGTTTTGCTTATAAATACAATGACAACTAAATTGATATGTTTTTCCAACTTAAATGAAATGTTGATCATCTCCATGGATTCAATCTTCTCTATTATTATGGATGTCCGAATCAGTTTGTGTGTATCTCGAATAACCCCACAAGTTCTTAAGAACAGTTAGAAAAATCTTAAGTGGCCTTGTAGGACTCGGCCCGGTGATCTCCTAAAAGAATCCCAAAATACCCAACTCTTATTGTTTGTTGCATTAACCTCACAAGATTCAAATTTGATGAAATATGAAAACGGAAAAGGAATTAAAGATTGATTTTGTGCTTTTTACATTATCATTGATCATACACACAACATGCATATACATCTGTAGGTAAAACATGACGGTAGAGGGGAAAGTCAATGAAGACGTGGAATAAAACAGTCAGGAACGAAAACAGTCGGTCTATGTGTCAATATGCCTATTTCTTCTTTCTTGTTTTTCTGTTATTTACCATATACTAGTCAGAGGCAAATTTAAGTATATCGGGTATGCACTCTCTCTATCCTGCTGATTATAATAGAAAAAATCTAGTTGTTTAAATCATTTGTCTATCATTTTTATAAATCTTACTTTTTTATAAACACGTTAATTGTTGTGCCCTTACTTGAATCTTTTTCTGGATCCGCCTATGCTATCAGTACTGTTTTTTTCCCTTTTTTTGCTCACACAGGTTTCACATAAATGATCGCTCTACCCTTTCGGTTTGGGATAGAAGCACACTTACATACATCCTTCTCTCAAACCCTACTTTTTTCGTAGGATAACTGAGTTGGTTCGATTTGTTTTCAGGTGTTACCAGATAAACTCCTTTTATATCAGTTTCGTACATCAAAAATATAAGAAAAATGGTTTATATTGATATATGTGAATTGTGGAATTGGTAAAAAAAAGGGACTTATTTTACAATTTGGAAGTTCAATTAAAGGAACCCTTGCATTATATGCTCAATTTCAAAACATAATTTCTAAAATGTTTTTTAAACATGCTTAAAATATGAATTAATCATTTAATAAATTGAAATTATAAAGTAGGAATCTTTATTTATTTTTTTTAAATTTAAATAATAATTATTAATAATTTATAATATTAAATAATAAAATAAACAAAATATTTTTTGATACGTGTGTTAGTTGGAGCTACAAACGTTGACACATGCCTACTATTGACAAATTTTCCATGCTCTATTTTTTGATTTAGATAATGCATTATCATGATAAAACACCTTTTTGAATAATGCATTTAAAGTAGGTTTTAGGATCATATAGCTTCTCCTTTTGAATATGATAATTATGGAGTGAAACTGAAAGGGTTGTTAACTTTGTTTTTCCATTAAATTCTGTATAAATAAAGTTGTTTGTATAAATTGAAAAAGTTTTGTTTTAGAGGGTTTTTTCATAGATGAAATGAACATGTTCTTTAATTGGGAGATACATGTTTGCAAAACACTTAGATGGTATTTGGTTTGTAAGAAGGCGACGGAATTTGAAGGAATTGAAATCATTGACCAAATTGCATTCATTCATTTGATTCATTCTTTGAGTTTTAGTAAGGAATTTGAATTCCATGTACAGTGGAATGTAAATTCCTTGGGTTAACCACAAGGGTGATGCCTGATTGGTTTGAGGTTGACTCCAAATATCAAAAGTGTCTGGAGATCCAAGGTTCAATCCAAAGAAAAATAAAAATCCTGTTGTAGCCACAAATGTTCAAATGCGGTGATTTCGAGCTGCCCGCAAAATAGATGGTCATCCTGAGATTAGTCGGCTCGCATAACAGGTCGGATATTCAGGTTAATAAAAAAAATTCCTTGGGTTATATCAAGGAATTCTAAATCCTTCCCTTTTTTAATGTTTTACTCTTATATGTATTCAATTGCCTTTTATGGCACCATGATGATTGTCACAATTGCCACCGCCACTACCACGTACCACCATTGTCATCGTCATCGTCGTCGCCTCTGTTACCACTGCACATTCACCCACCACCACCACCATCGTCACCACTATTAAACTCGTTAAGTTGCTAAGAAAACACATGCATTTTTAAAACAATTAGATATTATAATCAAATTTTGTACAAAATGAAACGTTACATTTTTTACACAAATAAAATAGTAATCGATATAATTATTTAATTTATGTTTTATTCTCTAGAGTTCTCGTCAAAACTACCAACTTTTTGAGTCGGTATCTCAATTAATTTCTTCCATCAAATATATGAATATCAAATAACTTATTACACGTATTTGATTGAAATATTCAAAACGCTCATCCGTTAATAACGAAAACTCTAAATTACAATCAATCTTATTAATTTTTTATAATAAATAAATAAACAAATTTCTAAATAAATAATAAAAACTGGTATTATTTTAAAACAATTAAAAATTAAAAATAGAGATGTCTTAAAATTGAAGTCATCCTTGTGACATATTTATGGAGTTGTTCTTTTTTATCTTTAGTGTTGTTGATATGCAATTTGGTGTTTCATGTATGCATGTGATTGAAAGCAAATGGTCCACCTTTTTTTTGTATATAAATAATTTTCAACACTACAAAATATCATCATCCATCCAATTTCCTTTTTCATTTCCATGCCCTTTTCACTTATAATATCAACCCTATGGTTTGAACTTATTTAAAATTTAACACTATTATTTACTTATCGGATAAGATTTTAGTCCACCAAAACAAACGTCGTATGCAAATATTTACCCGGTAAGCGTTCACCGTGATGAGTGTCGTCGTCTTTACTTACTGGGTAAGACACTTGATTCTTGTTGCGTTTTTACCGGATAAGATTCTTGGTCTTTACCGTATTCATCTAGTGAGGTAGTGTGACTGGGTAAGGGCTTATCTAGATAAGCACCGTTCAATTACGCAATTGGTTTGAGATCGGGTCGGGTATTGTAATATGAAAAAAAGTGGGGTCCAATGTAATGAATCATGAGAAAATAGAAGGGAGAGGGGGTGGTTGTGTTTCATAATTATGTGACTTTAGACAACCACATGACTCATTTAATTATAACTATCACCATGTTTATTTACCCTGGCCATCATGCTTTTTCCCCACCCTCCATAGATGTCTACTCATGAAACTACTTAAGCTTACCTTTTTAAATTACTATTTTACCCTTCATTTGGAATTTACCCAAAATCTCAAATCAGTCCCTATACCAGAATTGCTTTTTGTAAACGGTTCCGGCCGAAAACATATGGCTCGATCTATGTGTTTTGTAACCGCTCCCGGTCCCTGAGCGGGCCAAACTGGTCCCAACCTCTTTTTCTTCCAAAAATCAAATTTGAACGTAAAAAAAAAACGTGTTTAGATTTTTTTTGTTTGGATGATATCTTATTGAAATACACATTTAAATTTCTAGTTGGGTCATTAAAAGTCCCTTTAAAAATATTTTTGTTTAAATCTTTTTTTACACATATATTTTTTAGATATTTTTATAATTATAACATTCAAGATTTAGTATTGGAACACTTACAAAACTCGAAAAACATCGAAAAGAACTTGAAAAACTTGAAACTTTTGGCAAGAAAAACTTAATTATATCGTAGAGATCTTGAAAAACTTGATATATAAATTTATAAAAACCTACTTTTAAAAAAAATCGGTAGGTCCCGGTTTCAATTCCATCACCAGTCCTAGGCCGGGCCATGAAATTTCCAGAAAAGTGCAACCGGTTAAGGACTGTCGGGCCGGTCCCAGTCCTCTGTCGGTCCCAGGCTGGGCTTGGCCATTTCTAAGCCACATTGCCTTTTCATTGGAATTTTGGAAGCATACCAATCCTCAAATGTTAAGCCCATTAATGGATCTTCAGCCAGCCCCAATGAGCCCTCAAACATGATTGTGTAAAATAAACCAAACAAATTCAGTATATTGCACACGAAAGTATAATCTCTAAGATAGAACGTACACAAACCTTTTTCACGATTAAATTCAGCAAAAACTGAACCTCCTCTGTAACAACTTCCCGAATTCATGGTACCACACAAAATCGACAAAAAAAGGAAAATAGAACTGAAGATTCAAAAGAACACTAGCCAACCATTAAACACACTAACTTTTGTATAATTTACAACAATTGATGGTAGTTCTTTCGGGTAGTGTATATGATATGAACTTTGAACTAACTTCTACTTTTTCTTCCTGTTGTATGACGATCAAACCAGATAGAAACTATAGCACAAATTACGAGGAATCTTCACCAAAAGATGACATAGATTTGGTATGGACTTGTAAGAACTATGTTATCCGTTCTTCTTTAAATTGCAGAAGTCCGCTAGGTGGTGGTGGTTGTTGACGGTTTGGGTATTCCGGTCTTCGGATTAGGGAATGTGTGCCCGTGGGTGCATAATTAGCTGGCTGAATTTGAGAGGTGGTGGTGGTAGCCATATTATGGCTGCTGTTTCTAGCCGCTGGAACATCATGGTTGTGTTTCCCCTCGTATGTGGTTATCACGGCTTTTGGGTCGCTTGCAGCTCTCTCAACATGTTTGCGAACATTGCACCCTTGGCTGGTGCACTTGTAATAACTCCTGCATATATAAACACATCATAATGCTTTTTATGGGTTGTATTGAGATTGAACATAGCAATCAAGGTAGCAAGAAAATATTTCAGTAAGCTGGTCAAAAGAAAAAACACAGCGTCCAAAATTTGCGTTAGATTCTCACAAGCTTTTGACATATAGATCGCATCTCAACTTATCCATGTATAAACCTGTAACAACTTGTCCCACATGGATAAATAATATAGGATTTGTGAGTTCATTATAAGGCTATAAGCTTCAAGTTGTGGGTTACCAATAACTTCAAGGACACTTCAGATATATTTGGTCAAGCACCTATTAGCTGAAACAATCAATTAAGAGAAATGATTACCTTGGATGAGGATTTCCTTTAACAACTTTTTGTCCATACTTACGCCATCTATAGCCATCATCGAGAAGATCAACTTCGCTGGTTGTTTGAACTATGATCCGAGGTTCTGTAACTGCACGGTGGGATGAAACTGGGTCTAAAGCCCCGACCTCTGCATTCCTGCACAGTATGTCAAATGTATGACAACCCACTATAACAACAGTTGCATATTCTACAAAAATTGAACTTTTCACTAGTCGAATAAAAAGATACCTCCTTTTTGCTTGAGGTTCATCTTCATGTCTTTCATCCACTCTAGTCACATCATTACCCACTTCCTCGCTGTCACTTGATCCCGAATGTTCGTATGTAGCTTGGCTAGATTCTTGTTCCTTTATGGCCAATGAATGCACCAACCTCCCTTCCCTTGAATGGCTAGAAGTACCATTCTGACCCTCAAATCCGTGATCATATTGGCTTGAAGTACCGTTACCAGTATCTTTTCCACGCTTGGATTGAGGTGGTTGGTGGTTGTGCTGGCCTTTATAGATAATCTCGGTCACTAGGCCCTCTACAGAACGCTCAACCTGCTTCTTGACAGGACAATTTGGATGAGTGCATTTGTAGTAACTTCGAGGGTATTCACTCCCCTTCACCTGCTTCTGCCCATATTTCCTCCAGTTGTAGCCATCGTCAGCAGGCTTATCAACCACTATGGAGGAAGGTTGACTACGGTTATCGGAATTGGATAAATCAGACGATTCTTTTGCAGTATTATGGTCTGGCATAGCACGTGGAAGGCGTTGGTATGTGGTTGCATTGGAAGTAAAAGAAGGAATTTGTGGTAATGATGAAGATGGTGCTGATAAAGATGGGTAGACAGCTTGTGCTGTAACCTGAGCTAATGCTTGCTGGTGGGACATTCCAAGAGAGCTCTATCCACAAAACCAGAAGTAAGTTGTCGGAATCCAAAATCCAAACACAGAAGGTGGATAAACATAGAAAATTTACACCAGAAAATATCGATTAATGACATGCTTTTCCCTTCATATTCAAACAAAGATCATAAACTAAGGGGATGCTTGGTTGGTTTTTCATTAAGTCCTGTATGGATAAAGTTGTTTGTGTGGATTAATTTGTCTGCATAGATTGGAAAGGTTTTTGTTTGGGAGGGCTTTTTCATAGAGGGAAGGAGTGCGTTTTTTAATTCGGAGGGGAAGGTTTGGAAAGAATTTGACTTTCTGCATAAAGCTCTCCCCTAAAAAGCTTACTGAATAAGCCACTTTCTATATTATTAAGACACTACCAAATAGTCAAGTATAGCTGACCAAATAAGCTGTGAGTCCCATTAAGCTTGTTAAGCTGCTAACAAACAGACATCTAAATAACTTAAGGATAAAAGCAGGTTCTTCAGGTTTAACAGACTTTCATCTAAGATCAAGAGGGGCATCGTCTACTGATAAAGTCAATTTTCAAGGCAAGAATGTGAAGGGACCTTGCATAAAAATGAAACAAATAAGTCAACATTGTACCAACACAGAATCCATGAAAAAATCATTCGTTCTACAGTTCCGCAAAAGTATTTTGGCATATCAAGTGTGGGAGGCATCTTGATCATCAAGCAATAATGGAACAACTTTCATCATGAAGGTGCTGCGTGTCTGTACAGTTCTACATTTTAACACTCATGGTGCATATACTCTTCCTTTTTAAAGTTAAACCATCCTTAGCTAATTGTAGATTAGATATGTGATAAACAAATTCTTATGATCCAATTATTAAAGTGAATAAGAGTTCCTTGCTGTTCTAGGTAAATGAAACACATAATGGAAGGTTTTTTGTTGGTGATCAAATTCAAGTATAAAATCCAAAACACCTAAAAAACAGTTGAATGTCAAGTCTGTTGTTCTTTTCTGGATGAAAGAATAATTCATTAGGAAAAAGAAAAACCCAACTTTGAGTAGACTCCAGCAAACCCAAGCATTATGCCACCTTTTTTCTCTCATTAAGGCAAGTTCCACTAAAATCTAATTAATTTTCTAGTTTCTCATTCAGACCCTCCTAACCAATGAAACCTTACAGTAATCCTTTCTGTTTAATGTCTCACATCGAGTGTCCTCTCAATCTCACTCTTTCATCGCGCAGAATAGACAACATTAAAGACCTTTATCGGTTTATCCTTTTGGAATTTGGACCCTATCTTGCAATTGCGTCGAAGAAGGCTGTGGATGTTATACTATATATGAACACGAAAAACATGTATTCCATGTAGAAAAAGTATATCTAACAAAAGCGGGTCATGACATTCTTTAATTTAGAGCAAGTACAAATTTGAAAAAAGAAAAATCAATATCACACTAATTCATTTTAAAAGTGCCTCTCATGCTGTCATACATACAACAGAAATGAAAATAGTTCAAAAAGAATGAAAGATCTTCATCATTGGCTGTATAGATATAGTTCTTAAAAGGAGTTCTAGAAAAAGAAAGAGACGAGTGATCACCAAGATTTCCTTCCCATTATAGAGCAAGTGATTCTATATATGGTTCAGCCATCATAAATGAAGCTCACTTTGCAGTTCACATTCAATTAGCAAATGGCAGATTTCAGAATGCAGTTTCTCCTCAATTTAAACAATTAAATCATAGCAATATCTCAACTTTAGGAGGTGCCCACCCCTCACCACTTTGCTAATTCTAAAGATAAGGCTATTATTCATAATTTGGAAAACTCATTTCCTTTTGGGAATTAAAACCCTTAATTACAAATGAATCTATAACTACATACTTAACAGTTAAGTTTTTTTGCCTCTTACTTCAAGTGCAATTTTCCATATACATCATGACTTCATTTCACATATATAAACAACTTAAACTGTGGAGGCTTTGTAACCTGAGTTGGAGGAAAAAATCCGGGTGAATCGAGCAAGCTACCCGGAGTCAGACCCGGAGGTATAGTAAACATTGACTGCTGAGTAACCACCAAACTCGAAGGCCGTCCATTGTTGCTAAAATGAAAGTCAACGTTTCCACCACCGCTGCCTCCGCCGTTATCCGACTGTTTGTTAGAATAAGAATGCCCCATATCCAGACCAATCGACGGTCTAGGGTCAGGAATCTCTGCCGGAGACAACATAGCTCCGGACAAAAGCTGAGAGAATGAACGACAATCCGAATCCGGATCGTTCTCCGAGAAGAAGTTTGAAACTAAAGTCATCGGTCCGGGGCTGGCATCCATCACGCTACCTCCGCCGGTGAATAAACTCTCGACCGTCGAACGTGCCGGGAGGGTAATTGAAGGGCGTGCAGACGGTGCCGACGAATATAATCCCCTATTTTCATCCATAATTGAAATTTTTTAAGTTCGTGCGACTATTTGAAGTTGTATAACATTTCCAGTGGAAGTTAATTTCGCCGGTGATGAAAATCTCCGACGCTTTCTCGCTCTAGAAATGGTTTCTCTCTCTATGAGTTGGGGATTGTTTTGGTGTCTGTATTCAGAGGATCTGCAAAATCAGTAAAAAGTCCACGGAGCAGATACGAAAAAGCAAAAGGCTTCCTGAACATATTTCTATTTTTGGGAAATTCCTCTGTTCCCCCCACATGTTTCCTCTATTTTCATTTCACACCCTTCTTTATCGTCAATTTACACTTAGCACCCTCATTCCCTGATTCTAACATTCGGAGTTAAGATCTTTAAGTTATTTGAAGTAATTATGAACCGACAAAAATCATCGATAACCCGTTGGAGCATTAAAATAACGAATATTTATTATTAAGTTTCGTATAGAAAAAGTAATTTTTGTTGTTATTTGATTTTTTATATGAGATAAAGAATCGTGTGAGAATATGAGTTAAGTTTAAAACCACAAAAAAAGAATATATGGACCATTGTGTTTGATACGATAATTCATCTGGTGCAATTTTGGTCTTCAATTATGATTAATCCAATGATGGAGATTCCTTCTTACCCTTCACTCAATAATTTTTTTATTCTTATTAGAACCTAACCTTTTGAATGTACTGATATAATTATAAAATATAAATATGTGATTGTTTAATGTTTATTAAATGTGAAAACTTAAAACAAGAAGGGGGTAAATGGTAAAATGTGGGAAACATATTTTTAGGAGAGAATCCCAAATGGCAATTGGCAGTTGTTTAAATCAAATCTAAGGAAACCACACCACTCCCTTACGTTATTGTGGCCACGACATGTTCCAATCTACACCCGCCAAATGCTCCCATTTTTTTTATTTTTCTTACAATAATTAATAAAATAATATTTTTTTATTTTTTTGGGATATTCCCAAGAAAAATAATTAATAAAATAATAATTTGTATTTTTTTGGGATATTCCCAAGAAAAATGATAGAATCATGGAATTATCCTGTTGAAAAGTTTTGTAGTACACTAAAATAATATTAGATGGGCTTATTTATTAAGCTGTTTGTATAATTAAGTTGTTTATATGGATTAAGCAAAAATATGTTTTGTTTTTTATGCGTTTAAAAGATTGTTGTATCTTTACTGATTGTTTTTTATTGAGGATTGTAAGAATTTAATTTTTGACATTAATGAACATAAAGAACTTTCATTCAACCTTCAATGATATCTAATTACGTCTTATTGAACTTTCAACGACATCCAATTAAATCTTCAACAGCATCTGAAACATCTTATTGAACTTTCAACTGCATTCAATTGAATCTTTAAAAAATCTAGAAATATGTTTCTTAAATTATATTGTGTCCTACGACACCCAATTGAACCTTCAAACCAAACAATCCCTAAAACGAACCATGTTTTGAAGTGATTATTATGATTGATACTTCTAAAATTAATACCATGTACAAAATCAAAATATAAATAAAATACAAATTTACGGAAAAACTGGTTCCCAAATTATTTCTGCAAAAAAAAAAAAGAAGAAAAAACTCTTTCTTTTTATTTTTCTTCAAGTAACTGCAACTCTTGTAATGCAAATTGAAATCTATCATCTTATTATTATGATTATTAGTATTAACAACATGCCAGGAATAGTGGTGATGAGGAACGCATATCGAAACATTGGCACGGAGCAACGAGCAAGGAAAAGTACAAAATCAGAACTCGTTATCTTCTTCCATTCAGTCACCCATAATTGAAATCGTATCGAAACCTAAATCGGAACAGTGGCGAAGAGCAACAAGTGAGTAATAACGGTGAGGAGAAACCCAGATCGAGACCCATCACCTTCTTCCCATCAACAACTCGACACTATATCGAAACCCAAGTTGGAACGTACAACAGTGAGGAGCAAAGACGCCAAGGAAGAGCGGTGAGTGACGGCAAGACGACTAAGGATTGTTTTTTTTTAAAAACATGTGATATAGATGGTTACCAAGGATCGAATTTGAGAGCATGTATTTGAGAGAATCTAGAATACCCAAAAATTTTCACAAAGGAGTAAGGATGAAATTTTGTTAGCTGTGTGGATTAAGCTCCCTCCTACTAGTTGAGCGAATAAATCATATTCTGAAACATTAAGCCACTCCAAATAATTCTGAAGAGTTTAGTAAATAAGTCGTAAACCTAAAAAGGAAAAACCCTATAAACGGGTTCCAGTAAATTTAATTTTTTAACGAACGAAAAAGACATTATGGTTACAGTTTCCACTTGTGTCTTTTATGGGTTCCTTTCTTTAAAGGCATGGACCGATTATAAGAAACGTTGGTATGTAGTGGTTCTATATTTAAATTTTTTTAAACCACGTCGTTTTAATAAAATTTATTTCTATGTTTGTATGCCATATATTATATTCAACTGTTTTTATGTTTATAACAATATTTATTTCACGTTTTAAACTTATTTCGCATATCATATATTATGTATAATTGTTTATATGTTTATAACAATATTTATTTAAAAGTAAAAAATTGCCAAAGATGATTTTTAATTTATTTTTAGTATTTAAAAGTTTATATATTGGATCATAATATGATAATACTGTGATAATCAAACACCAATGATGATCACGTTTATAGTCATCGGATCTGTTTGTTCATTATATGATTTGTAGTTTTTTCCCATTTTAAACCAAATGGTTTTTAAAACGAATTAATAATCAAAACCAACTGGGTTTTTAAATAAATAAATAAATAAAATTGATAAATAATATTATTATAATTATTAATTGAAATATCAAAACATATTTTTCTGTTAATTACACTGTATATTTTCAAAGTTATTAC